ATATTTTGGCAGCATGTTAATCAGTATTTCCCTATAATCTGAAGCAGAAGTACAGCCACAGGCAACCATATTCAGACAGGTATCTTGTGAATAATTATAAGATTAGATATTAGTCATACCATCCAACTCTCACAGATAAGTAGGAGGGACACCTTGTAGCACAAGGTATTTATTTTATAAAAAAATTATGAAACCCGGAATTGTTTTTTATTCACCATTACTTTTCCTTTACACTGCCTTTTCCAAATAGCAAACTAGAATATTAAAAGATAGGATAAAGGTTTAGGTGCCAAATAACACTTTTGTTAGTTAAATATTTACTAATGTGCCAAGTCCTGCACTCCTAACTATTAGCATCTAAGCAGCTGTGCCAATTATCAAAAAGATGACAATAACAAATACTGACACGCATTTGACCTGATTCTAGCTGCTTTTGCATGCCCAAGACTTGTACGGAGAGAAAAGCATTTCTGATGCACACAAAAGCCTGTTGACAAATGCCCTAATTGTAACACTGGTTATTATATTCACTGTGGCATTTGTAGTTCTATTCACTATGGCTGTAAATAGGCATGAGCAAAATTAAGAGTTTTTAAATTTTCTCGAAATTTCACCATCTTGTCAAAATGCATTAGAGTCAATGGAGAAGCAAAAATTAAGGTTTTGAATGGCTCATGAGGGTTATAGAATGGAATAAGGACACAAAAACTGTAGCCCCTTTTAAGCACATTGAAGCATACAATGTGCAGCGGTCAGAAGCATATAACAGTGTCCATTACATTACTGGTCAGCAAGTGCAAAAATCAGTTTTGGCGAGCTGTGCAGTACAAAATCAGAAGACGGAAGCTGGGTCAGGACAAGCCGAGGTCAAGCCATGCAGGATAAGTGGTGTCGAATCAGCATACATGAGGCTGAGTAGTGGAACAGGCTGAGGTCAGGAACAGGCGGAGAGCAGCAGAGTCAGAGGATCAAGCCGGGTTAGATACAACAGGAACAATCAGAAATCAGGAATCAACATCAGACACTAGCTGAAGAATTCTCAGCCCTGAGTGGATGCAAGTTTAAATAGGCCTTTTGGTGCCATGATTAGATGTGAGCATGTGCACGCTGATCTGCGTGAGCGGCGTTGCACGTGAATGCGAGCATCAGCTTCCGCGTGCATGTGCATGATTACGAGCATTACTAGCACTAAATCGTCTCACACAAGCATGCACAATGGCTCTCGCAGTACCAGTTCTATGACTGCTGGCTGGGCTTCCCTGACAGCAGCTTGGTGCTGGAAAGCCCAAGAAGTACTCACACTTCTAGTGTAATTTGTCTTGACCGGGAAGGATGGAGTTTTCCATTTTAGCTTATTCAGGCCTGCAAGATGGTCAAAACAGAATCCACCTAGCAATGGTGATACAGGAATCTGGTTGTCCCACGTGAGGACCTTCAGGGATAACAAACAGTCAGGCTTTTGAATGGCAGAAGTTGCAGAGAAATACAAGACTGAGGTTTCACAGAGTCACTGGAGTACAGACGGGAAACAAAATGGTAATGTGTAACTCTGCATCCTTGATTTCCACTGAGGCTAAATAGTCCCCTGGATGCAGGGCTGCAATCATAGAATGGGTGGATTCCATTTGGTACTTCTGAACCCATAGGAACTGATTTAGGACTTTCAAGTCTTGGATAGGGTGAAACACTCCCTTGGCCTTAGGAACAGTGAACAGGTTAGAATAAAAATCTTGGAAATGTCTCCCTCAAGAAACAGGAACTTTGACCCCTTGAGAGAAAAGCTGACCCAAAGGAGCTTGTAGCTCTGTGAAAGGACGCTCTGGATTGCATCGGGAATGTCCTGCACCCAGAACACCGAAAAGGCTGACAGACATAGTGGGGGTGCCCCTTTATAAGGAAGAGGGCCTGAGAGGGCCTACTTGATACCCTGGAGGTCCAGGTCTTACAGCGGAATTGCCTTCACTGTTTGGGTTTTAAACTGATGCTTGGGGAGGACTAAAGGAACTCTTCTTAAGGGAGGGAGGGAGAGACTTAGTTACTGGAACCTTTAGGCTTCTTTTTCTGAGGCAAGAAGGTGCTAACTGTTTTAAAACATCAGGATCAGTTAGGATAGATGTGAGGTCCCTGGCCATAGACTTGGACCAGACCGATAAGGTCTGACAAACTGCCACAGAAGCAACAGTGGGTTCCATGGCTGTTAGCACGTTTTGGCATTTTAAGGGACCCCAAACTTGTGATCTTTGGGAGGGTCAAGGTAGGCAGTTTTAACTGCAAACAAGTGCAGATCGCATCCACAAGAACAGAAATCACGTACAGGTACTCTACACAAGAAGACTCCTAAGAACTGGATACAGTTTCTTCCTCCCTCTTTTCTTCAGTGAGCAAGCACAAACTAAGAGGGGAATCAGAGGGGGTTTCTAAGGATGTGTCTAGAAATATCAATCATGTTAGCCATTTCCCCATAATATTCACCTTAACAGTGGAAAACTCCATTCTGGATAACAAATTAAAGTAGGGTGGCCCAGAGGGGGCAGATGAAGACCCTGAAGCTATCAGCATAGAAGAAAGGAAGCCCAACACAGAATATACTGAAATGTTATCCCCAGAAGGGGAGGAATCCACAGCTGAGTTGCAAACTGGCTGTGTGGCAAAAGTACCTCCTACTGCTTTTTTTTATATCTTTTACCCCCAACCCTCTATGCTCAAGAAATATTAAATGCTGAAGGGAAGTTGTTCTAAGACCCTAGTTGATATCTTTTTTCTATCTGGGCTCAGATTATTCTTTTCTTTAAATAAAGATAAATGCAACAGATATATGGACATTCTGCCTTTTGTCATACCCTGACCACTTCTGTCCTGCACATACTGCCTGCTGTCATACTCTCTGCACTCTTTTACCATGGATACTACCTGCTGTCATACCTTCAGCGCTCTTCATCTTCACACACTGCCTACTGTCCTACAACACTTAAATACTGTTAAAAAGGCACACTTTGTTAAAATATATAATGTTCTGATACTCATATGTGGATAAGGCTTAAAGTGACATTAAAGTAAAAAAAAATGTTTCCCTCCCCCAATGTTAATGTTAGCACTTACCTTAAATGATGTCTCTTATTCTGGTCTTCCTCTTCTTTCCTGATGTTTTCATCTGTCCCTCCAGCGGTGCGCCAGCTCTCCGATCCAGCGCTGACTCCTTTGTCCTTACTGGCACTTCCGATCTCGCGGTGTCTGCATGCGGGTGCACGCGTCCATAGACTTACCTTGCGTCTCTGCTCGTCTCCGGGCTGAAAATCTGGACTGCGCATGCACCCACCCCAGGATGCTTTGCGGCAGCCCGAGCAGTTTCGTATTCTCGGGCGGGAGCATGCGGCAAAAACGGGGTAGGTTTAAACTAGGGCTGCGGAAATTAACGATTAATCCCTCTGCAAAAAAAAAAAAAAAGTCTGCAGATAGCAAATAGCGTTTTATAATTAATCGAAATTAAATCGATAAAAAAAAATTTCGATTAATCGAACAGGAAATTTTTAATAATTACCAGCCCTAGTTTAAACCGCTGTTAAATCGTTTAAAAAAAAAACTTATTGCATATATCTACTGCTTGCTAGCAGTAGATATAGGCAAAAAACCCGGAGGGTTTAGAAACCCTTTAATATAAAACATGGTCTTTACTAGGGATGCACAGATACTTTTGAATTTTTCTCTAGTGTAGTCTTGGAGCTCAAAAGTATCGGTACATGTACTCGTACTTGTACTGAGTACTGTACTTGGTATCTGTGCAACCCTAGTCTTTACTGTGCCTTGTGGAAGAATGATCTTGCAGCTCTGGGATCTTAGAATGGTGTAATTTTGGTGCTAACCTGTTCATTGTCAGTGCAGAGGACCCCAAAGAAAGATCTGAAATCACATGCTGTCAGTCAGTAGAGAATCTTTAGCAGAGAATCTTTGCTGTGAGAGTCTCGCAAAAGAGCATCTGTCTCTATGTCCTCAATGGCATGCACCTTGTGCCAAAATGACATTGCACCGAGGTCCCGCAACATACCAGGCAAGAACCTCCTCCTATGGTAACAAGATAGTAAAAGATCAAACACCAAATAGTGGACTCATCAAAAATAAGCATCATAAATACATTTAAACATATACATGAATAAATGGAAAAATCATGATCATCATGTATGAACTCTATTATCTTTAAAAATGTATATAT